CCAGCAGAGTGTTCCGAGGTCAGTGGGTTGGCAGGGAGGTTGTGTGGGGCTGGAGTTGGCAGGGAGGTGGGACATCAAGGCCACCCTGGGTACCTGCAACGGGACACTGCGGCTGCTGGGCAGCTGCTCCTTTGTGCCCCATTGCCAGCAGCAGTTGGCTTTCTCTTGCTGATCCTTCCTCTCTGGGCATCCGGGCGGGCCCTGTGTCGGTCAGCAGCCCACATGCCACTGCCATGTGACCGCTCTGGGGGCGCAGTCAGGAAGGATCACTAGGAGAATGTCAACTGCAGCAGGGAGTGTCCCCAGGTCGGTGGGGTGGCGGGGAGATTGTTGGACTGGAGGCGGCAGGAAGGCAGGGGTCGAGGCTACTTCCCATACCGATGGAAAAAAAATATTCCACTGTCCCGGAATTGGGCCCGAGGTACGGGAAGCAGGTCTTGGGAAAGACCTTCCCTCCCCATTCAGAGAGCCCGTGTGGCGAGAGAGGAGGGGCGGGCAGATGGCAGTGCCTCCTTCACTTGTTCAGGTGGGCAGAGAAAGAAAGGAGGTGCGCGATATCCGGCGCAGTGACGATGGCAAGAAGTGGCTGCCAGCGCTCCAGCAACAACGGATCATGTTTGTGGAAGGCTGAGCCAGAACTGAGTGTCCGGGATTGTGCTTCAGCCGCCACTGTGAAAATGTGTTTTTTGCCAACTTGGAGGTTGGCAAAGAAGTCTCCATTTCCCCGTCGCTGCCGAACAGTCTGTGCCCTCCCCCTACGGATTGATACCACAGGAGGGAAGGAAAGAAGCCAGTCTTGGAAAAAACCTTCCCTCCCGCTCCAAAGAGCCCATGCTGGGCGAGCTTTGAATGTGGGCGAGCTGATGGCTTGGGGTTGGCACCTCCTTCGCTCGTTCGGGCAGGCAGCGAAAGAAAGGAGGCATGAGAGGAAAGCATCTCTGCCACCAAGGGCAAAGGAAAGCTCCTTCGCCCTTGGCTATCGCACGCCTCCTTTCTTTCGCCACCTGCCCGAACGAGTGAAGAAGGCACTCACTGGCCACTAAACCGCCCGATCGCCCACATTCAAACCAGCCTGCTTTCTCTCTCCTGGCATGGGTTCTCTAGAGGGGGAGGGAAGGTCCCTCCCAAAACCTCACTTTTCCTGGCGGCACCCCAGTGATAGCAGCATGAGAGAAAACATCTCTGCCACCAAGGGCAAAGGAGAGCTCCTTCGCCCTTGGCTATTGCACGCCTCACCTCAGTGATAGCAGCTGAGCGAGGGAAGGATGAATTCTGGGAGTTGAAGTCCACAAATGTTAAAGCTGTCAAGTTTGAACACCCCTGGGTTTTTTTTGTAAAGGGTTAGGCTTACAAGGTTCTTGTAACTTGAAAGCTTTAAGACTTGCATGCTTCAAATGCCAGAGTTCCTGAGCCAACATTTTGGTTGCTAAGCAAGAGCGCTGTTAAGTGAGTTTCACCACATTTTACAAGTTGGTCACATGCACCGTCACATGACTTCCCAGCCATGCCCACCCAATCACCAAACCACTCTCACCCGGTCACATAACTGCCAAACCACTCCCACCCAGTCACATGACCGTGAAGCCGCTCCCACAATATAGGCCACACCTACATAATAGGTTCTAAAAAAATTTGAAACCCACCACTGGGACAGTCACTCTCTCTTAGCCCAACCCACCACACATGGTTGCTGTGGGGAAAATAAGTGGAAGGTATGCATGTTCACTGCTTTGAGTTATTTTTTAAAAAAAAATAGTGGGATATCAATAAATAAATTAGCACTGAGAAGTGTTCTAGCAACACTGCATACCTATAGCAGTTACCGTAAGAAAAATCTCCTGAAATTGCATTTTTTATTTCCAACACTACCCTGACTCCCATTAATTAGTCAGTTTCCAATAAATGAACTACTTCCACAGGTGAGATATTAAGAATGTAATAACAATGTCACTATTAAGCATATTGGAGAAGGAAACACCTCTAAAATAACAGCTGTTGATTAACAGCTGATCAAGTTTATGTTCTGTCAGCTCCAGTACCTGACTTAGTCCCAAATCTACTGAGATATATGACCACTGAACTCAATTTTATCTTCTTAAAAACCAATACTTGGAAGAAGACAAATTTAGATTAACATTGAGTAGAAACAGAACAGTGAAAGAACTGACTTTTCCCCAGCTTTATTTTAAGATATATGATCGCAAAGTTTCTGGAGTCAAAGTTCAAATGGCTGTAATCAGGCACTACACCCTTCCCTCAACCATCTGATCCATTAACAAGTCAACTGAAGTTGTAAGATAGTACTAGATTTTGGTTTTTTGTAGGTCTGAGTCTGCAACCTCAAATCCTTCTGTAAAAAGCCCTGAAGAAAGATACAGGTAGTCCTCGAGTTACGAATGTAAAGGAGCCTGCCCATTCCATTCGTAACCTGAGGATTAGTGGGAGTGAATCTCGTACCTTGAATGGCATCACTCCCTCCTTTTGCCCACATATTCACTAACTGAATGTGAGGTTTGTTAGATGCACATGAGGTATTTCAAGGTGGGAAAGGCCATGGAGGTGAGTCTAGTGATGGAACAGACCACCTGCCTAAGACCACCCAAGGCCTCCCCGACCCCCCTGAAATACCTCATGCTGCCCACAATTGCTTTCCCCCCCACCTGCCATGCTGGGTCACTTGCCTTGTGAAGATCTAGTAAACTGTCTGCTCTCTAGCTACTCAGATGTGTACGGCCCTCAGGAGCTTCGTTTAGGCCTGCGAAGGCCTCGTCCAGCACTTTGCACGCCAAAATGGAGGTTTGGAAAGGTGGAAACTCTGTTTTGGCTGGCAAAGTGCAGGACAAATGTTGCAGAGCCTCTGTGGATGTTCATAAGGGCAAACAATTGCCGTGGTACTGCAAGATTGGTAGTTTTGGGACTTGTCGTAAATAGGGGGCGCTTGATGCTTCAAACGTTTGCTAAGGGAATGCTGATAACCCGAGGATTACCTGTACCTTCCTTACCTAGGACAAAATGGTACTCTTCAAATGATTGTGACTAGATCTTCCATTATCCAGATAGTTGGGGCATACTAAAATCTAGCTGCAAACTACTGATTTTCATGAATCAGCAAAGTGAGTTTTGGGATGGATTTCTAGTTTACACATGAACATTCCTCTGAGCTTCTCTAGAGGAAAACAACTTTTTGTGCCATAGACAGTGAATGTACTAAAGATACTCTCGACCAGAAGTACCAGAAAAAGATCCAAAAGGAAATGACATGCTAGAACAGGGGTGTCAAACTCGATTTGATTTAGGGTTGCATCAATGTTGTGTTTGACCTCGGAGAGCTGGGGTATGTGTGTGTGGCCAGGGTAGGCATGGCCAAGGTGGATGTTTGACATAGGCTCAAGATGCATTTTTTTCCCTTCTTTCCTTCCACAGTTCTTTACTATAACCATTTACAAATAGAAATTATAGATTGTTGATTGTAGATTTAAAGGGACCTACAGTATGTAAAATCTGGCATTAAACTGTAGTATTAACATAGGGTGTTGCTTGTTTTCTATCCAGATTTGGCACTTACTTGAGGCCACAATTGTAATCCAGTCAAATCCAGTTCTCCTGCAGCACTCTGCTGGCTGTAAATGGGCCGCGCAGAGGCCCCACATGGCCCATTTGTGGCCACCCAGGCCTCCAGCAGCATTCTGCTGGCTGAAAACATTTTTGGCCAGCAGAGTGCTATTGGAGGCTGGGGAGGCCAAAAACGGGCCATGCGGGACTGTGCGGGACCTCTGCGTGGCCCGATTTTGGCCAGCAGACTGCTGGTAGAGGACAGGGAGGCCAAAAACAGACCTTGCGGGAGCCTCACAGGGCCCATTTTCAGCCAGCAGAGTGCTGCTGGAGGTTGGGGAGGCTGAAAGCAGACTGCAGGGGGGTCAGGGACCCAGGGATCTGGTATTTTGAGACTTCCAGGCTGGCCCAGGGCTTCCGGGGCGGGACCTTGCTGATGGCGGTGGCTTAACGAGCTGCCCCCGGGTTCCTGGCTGCGTTATCTGCCTAAATACCTG